TTTCTAAGAGAGTTCATAAACAACATCAGCTGGAGGAGGGACTGCAGTGAGGGCTTAGCATGTAGCTGTGGGGAATGCGTTCAGGTTTATTACTGGCTGGTGTTGAATTCAGGGAAGACCTATTAAGTGCATGGGGAGGTCACAAAGCGAGAGAAAATAGCTTATCTCAGTGCAGGGAAAACAAAATTAACTTTGTTTGGGTCTTGAACTAGGTTGGAATCCTCAGGATTAGCGGCTTGCATTTAGTTTGGAATATTCATGGCATAAAGGGCATTGGCATGATGGTTGGTTGTCCAGCATGGGCGCAGGAGGACACACACCAGTCCAACCCTTTCTACAGGCACAGTTTAACCACTTTGGTTACATTCCTCAAGTGGAGCCACCTTCCTCACCCTCCTTCCCCGAGCTTCTCCTCCCTAATGAACATGAGCTCCCTGTGCCTTGATCCAAAACCCAAAGCTTACCGCCATTGAGTTGGTTCTGACCCATAGTGACCCCATAGGGCAGGATAGAACTGTCCCTGTGGGTTTCTGAGACTGTAACTCTTTAAGGGCGTAGAAAGGCTTATGTTTCTCCCCCGGAGAGGCCGTGGTTTCAAACTGCTGATCTTGTGGTTCGAAGCCCAACACGGAGCCATACTCCCAGGGCTCCCTGTTGCCATGATAGCTTTTAAGAAAAGAAGCTGGCAGCTCCCAGTGGCTCACAGTTCCATGTGAATAAACCGCTCTTTTCAAGAGCAAGCAAACGACAACAAAAGAGAATTTGCATTCATGGAAATACTTTGAAACATCGAGGTAATGGTTCTTTTATGTGTATCCAACATCGTCCACAGTTCTACGTTCAGTTCTTTTTATTCAACTGGAAAACTAGCAGCCGATCATCAGAGTGAGCTGTCTAGACATCAGGAGGGTCAGAGGGGCTGGTGTTTCTTCCCGGTTCCAGCATAAAAGAAACCTTCTTTTTGATGCAAGTAATGGTAACCAAGTTCGACTGCCTTCAGCAAAAGGGACAGGAAGTTGGTCTAAGAAGACTGCAGGAGCCAGGCGGGACATACAGTCGCTCCCGAGAAAGACTGGAAGCAACTGTATGATTGTTGTATTGCAGGGGGCCCTGCCCCTTCTCCTGTGAGGAAAACAGTGAGTGTTATCTATGCTGACAGGTGAGACCGGGAGTCTCATTCATTGCCCAAGTACCAGGGTGGGGATTCAAAGCCAGGCCTTTCTGGCTCTGAAGGCAGCGCCCTTATTTTAAAGGACTCATTGCAGGACAAATAGGAGCCCTGGTGGCATAGTGGTTATGTACTGGGCTGCAAACCACAAGGTCAGCAGTTCAAAATCACCAGCCGATCCTTGGGAGAAAGACAGAGTTTTCTACTCCCGTAAAGAGTTACAGTCTCAGAAACCCACAAGGGCAGTTCTGCCCTGCCCTATGCT